AGTCCTATTTTCTGGATACGGTATTTACCAGGATAGTGGTATTATTGGATCTGTGGATTATTGTAGTTGAAATGACAGCAAAAGTTGGTGAAAATTGAGAACATGATAAAGGATTCTGCTTCAAGTTCCTTGAAGGCAATATACACCTGAGGGAGACCAGAGAATGCATCAACCAAAATATACTGACCAAGATGATGACCAGCCTGAACAATTCATAAGGATAATAACACTACAGTACTTCCTCGTTTATCCAGACTTCGCTTTTCCAGATATGAAATAAAAAGCAAAATTGAAATCATCTGAACATTTACCAATTATCTGAACTAAGCCTATTCTAACATTTCACCTTAGACAAGCGTTTTGCAAATTTAAAATACCATACTCAGCATATGATAAAAAGAACTGATAAAATCGGTTCAAATAATTCTTGTTAATTTTCTTGTTGTTTTTATGCAAAGAACAGACATTTTGATTATCCCAGCTTGATTATGGCTTATTCAAGTCTCAGATGTGTGTGACACATGTGAACCAGACCCAATTTCAAACACCGAAACGACAATTATGTTTGACACATGTTTAAGTTAGTTGCTCTTCCAACCAGAAGCTGCCCTTAGAAATACGTCTGCTTTAATCCAACTTTGGGAGTTAGCAGCAGAAAAAACATGAGACCAACCAGAAACAAGAAAATAATTGATGCATTTTTTATTTTTTTAAATCTGAAAGAAAAATGGATAAAGCAATTAATAGAATAATGTCACTGTGGGGCTTCTTCATTTGTCCAGACTTTGCTTGTCCAGATGTGAAATGAAAAGCACAATTGAAATCATCTGAACATTTTCCAATTATCAGAACTAAGCCCATTCTAATATTTCACCTGAGACAAGTGTTTTTGAACAAAGTGTTTGAAAATTATATTTGATGACATAAATATCAAATTTCTTTCAGGAAATACTTCTTTTTTTTTTTTTTTTTCCATTATTTTTTTTATTAATTTAGGAATTTATCCCGAATTTTAAATTATTTCCGAATATTTTTTCAACTCTTACCTCCAAAGTGTCTGGATTATCAATGAAGTATAGTACTTAATCTCAGAACTTCAGCTGACAGCATTTTCTTTCTCTTATAGCTTTTAAAGTTTTTATTCTTTGTCTTCGAGCTTCCATTTGTCTATGGTTTGGTTTGGTCTACTTTGTTTTACGGCATATCAACCTCAATGAGTTATATAATGCTGACAAGGTTTTTATTGCTGGTAATTATTTTTTTTCGAAAATGTATTGCTGGTAATTTTTTTTTTTTTTTTTTCAAAAATGTATTGATGATAACAATTTTTCTTCAAAATTTTATTGCTGGTAATAATTTTTTTACAAAAGAATTTCTGGTATTTAAACCTATTTTTACACTTTCATAGTGCTTTGACCTCATAGCTGAGACCCTAACAGGTGATACCTTGAGTTAGGGTGGACCTGGGAACACCAGCAATTAAGAGGTGGTTCCATGCCCCCTCGAAACCTCCTGATCAGAGGCCTTACTGTTGGATGCAATTTATCATCTTACCCAGGACAGAGATGTACTTTATCATCATACCCAGGATGGTATTTGTCTATGGATCCTAGCATTTCAGTTAATCCATTTTTTAGTCATTGATTGAATTGTTTTAAGCATTTTGTGTATGACTCTAAATAAATCTCATCAAAGTAGAGCATTGTGACAAAAAAACTAATAGCTTTTTGCATGGGTTTTCTTTTAAACAGTGGAAGAGTCTACAGTGAAATATCCAGACATTTACAAGCACACTCTATTCATTCATTCTACAGATTAAAAAAACAGCAATTTGTTAATCAGTTAATAGATGAAAATAGATTGAATGGAAGAAACTGTTGTCTTGAATTGCTTGTTTTTTTTGTTTTGTTTTGTTTTTTTTTTGGGGGGGGTTGTTTCCTTAAAAATGAAAAGCAGGAAGAAACATCAGATTGTAAATCATGAGGTTTCTCTCCTGAGTTGGAAAATCTTGACCAATACAATTTTTAGATAAAACACTTAATTTTGCAGATATTTGATTGTGGCTCTTATTACAGGAGATAGTTTGTTTTTTTTTTGTTTTTTTTTTTCTTAAAATGGAGCTGAATGTGGAATCTATACTTGAAGATTTTTGTTTCACTTTAAAGAGGTTGCTCTTGAGATAAGCAAGCGTTTCTGCCTTCACTTCACTTCCTCCTCTCTCCTGTTTGAAAAGAGGATTCGTTTACTCTTTCCAGCCCACTCATGTTTTCTGCTTGATAAACGTCCATGTTTGAGATAGGACAAGAAATTACACATGTTGCGTCATCCTTCTTTCAACAACAACAGCAAAAAAAAAAAAAATTATTAAATAGAGATTCAAATTTCTCTTTGCCTTTCATTTCATTCTTCATCACCTAGAATCAACAATTTTCACTTCAAGTAAACTCAAAAAAAGAAAGACTATGGTTTGATATTGCAATAAATAAAATGTTGCTTGCTTCAGATACATGTTGAAATGTTTTTTTCTTTTTTTTTTTCACTATAATTTTTGCCTACTATGTAATGGTTATTTTTGACTAATAAGATTCTTTTTACTTTATTTTTCTACTTATAATTCATAACAATTTTCAAATGATCCTTAAACTGCAATATCAAGAACTTTTTTTTGTAAATGGTATGTTCCTTCAGGATGTAAATGATAATAGCTCTCCACAGATTCCTTTGAGTTTTTTAATATCTGTGAACAGTGCATTACTATGTTTTTTGGAAAGTTGTTGTGGTGATTTCCTGTTGCCTTCAAATTGCTATTCTGTGAGGAGGTGCTGAAAAGTTATTGGCACAAACCATTTCCCAAAATCTTTTGGATTTGATGCCATTCTTTAATTCTTCTGAGATAGGAATGACTATTATTATAGACTTTAATACTCAGACTAGCAAACTCATTTTGTTAGATTTGCAACGTTTTGGACTTCTTCAGTGTCTGTCTTTGGAATTTGGACCTGTTGTTTCCAATCCTGAGTGGGAATAAGTGCAAAACACTTTCCCCTCCCAAATTTATAGGCAAAAGCACACAAATATATGTTGGGATTTCTTCCTAGCCTATAAGATAGGCTACTTCTCGGTCTCACCTGACTTGGTCTCGGTCTGTCATGTCAGAATGCTACGTTTGTTTATCTGGATTTGCTCTTGTGTGTCAACCATAATTCTTAGTTTGTGAACTTTTTGCCATATTGCTGTTGCTTTGCCTTACATATTGTTTGCCTGCTTTATATGATTTCTTTACCCTGTTCTTTTCTTCTTGTTAATTGCAAACTTTGTCAATTCTGTTTGTTGGGGAGTTCTGCCATTTATTTACACTTAACTATGGACATTTATTCTACAGGACCCTTTATTTAATCTGTTATGATAGTTTGTTCTCATTTTGCTTTTCATGCTTAGCAGGTATTTCATATCACTCACCAATCTTATTCAATTTTGTGTCACTTGTTCATTTTTTTTTTTTTTCCATTGAACCAAAATATGTGATTTTTCATATTACCAGACTCAGGGATTGATCTGTCAAGCTGCCAGGGAACCAGATATGTTTTTTTTAACCAATGCTTTAACTCACTAGATGATGTACCTTATAGTGCTGAAAAGTCAAATACTTGGGTTCAGTGGAAGGAATGGGAAAGTGACACAAAGGCACAAAGACTGGTGAATATTAACTGATTCAAGTTATCCCTCCTAAGAATGTGAGATAGAATCCTAAATAGAATGAGAACAATTTGCCTATGTGCTTTAAATGAAGGGTTTGGTTTGAAATTCCAAGAAGGTTACTTTTTCTTTCTTTTCTTTTTACTAATGTTCATCCATTACAAGACCCGAGAGCCACTCAAGGTAGAAGGTTACTGCGTGGAGTTGTATTAGTGTAAAAAAATTTCAGAGTTCTGGCAGGGATGTTAGAATTATAGAGTTGAAGTAAACTTTAAAAGGAAACTGGAAACCCAATCCTAAACAGGGAACAATGAATAAACCTCTGTTTTTGTACTTTTGTTCAAAAGAATGGGGGGGGGATGTGAACCAGATGACAAGAATTAACTCCAGAAAAAATTCTGTCAATTCATTGTTGAATCATAGAATTGCATTGACCAAAAATGAAAAAAATTCAAGATGTATATTAATGTTGTTGTTTTTTAACTGATATAAAATAAAACTAGTTTGTAAAAAAAAAAAAAAATAATAGTTAAACATATTTACAATCTTCATTAAAAGAATCAAAATATTATTAATTTGGCTGATGGTCAGATTCTTTTTATGTTTCCATTGACTTTTTTGTGTATATCTATATAATAAATGTGAATGTCAGTATATCACACTTTTCAACTTTACTCCTAGAGGCCGTAGTCCAACATATCGTACCATTTTGGAATCAGGACAACTCCGTGAGCAAATTAAAAACATTCCGGGATGGAACCAGACGTGCAATCCTGACATTTTCAGATCCCAAATTTTCATTACTGCAATTGTTTTTGGCAAATTTTTATGTGATTTTTTTGTGATGAATTTTTTTGTACAATAACAATTTTTATAACTTGGAAATAAATATGGGAATAATCAAAATTAATTGCAAAAGTCACCCATGAAAAAAAAATAATTGTTTGTAGGAAAGTAAGGCCTTACATACATCAAATTGTCTTTGAATAAAGTGGCGACAGAAGAATTATTGTTGAACTTTTAAAAGGTAAGCTTAAATATTAATGCAATACTTAGATGCAGCAATGAATTTTGAGTTCTTCTGTAGTTTATTGTTGCCTATCACATTTACTCCTCCCTACCTATTGCAATAAAGGCCCAATCAAGAGCCCTTCATAGGCGCTAGCTTAAATGCCACCCGATAGGGCAGCATTTAAACTAGTTAGCAATAAAAGTTAGAATGTTTACCTGTTCTGTATTAAACAGAATATCCTTTGCTTAATAATAATAATAATAGCCATTTTTTTTCTCGTATGCCTTTGTAGGAGGAAAGTGGAGATGATGTCTCATTGGGTCACTATGGGAATTTACCAATTATTCAGTCTACTGAGAAGCCTAATCGACAACTCTTGGATGTCAAACAACTGACCCCTGCTTTTGCTGACCAAAAGGTGTGGGTTCGGGCCAGATTGCAGACCAGCCGCAGTAAAG